GAGGGAAGGACTTGGTGATAAATGCTCCGCAAATCGCTATGATATTGATACTACTAGGTGTATGGGGAGATTTTAGGACACTTTTGAATGACTCATTAGCCTGCATACTAAAGTGATAGGAATATACAGAGGGGTTATCCAATGTACGTTTCGAAATCAAGGCAGTATAAGAACAATCCACTTCCGCAGCATGCACCTGATGAGATCGAGCCGGGAGACTGAAACTGACGACAGAAAAAAAAAATCTTCTTGGGCTTCCCTCTCTTTTCCCACTTCCTGTCTCCGATGTGACTTTTTTTCCCTTCCCGTCTTTCATATAGTCAGCCCCAACATTTCCAGAATTTGGTTGTAATAAGAAATTGCTCGCCCATGCGTGTCACGCCGCTTCTTCCTTTCCTCGCCCGGACGGACTGTATTGTACAGTACTCGCCTCAATTCAATGGGACATTTCCCCTTTAAAATATTTTGACTTTCATATAGTCAGTCCCAACATTTCCAGAATTTGATTGTGATAAGAAATTGCTCGCCCATGCGTGTCACGCCGCTTCTTCCTTTCCTCGCCCGACGGACTGTATTGTACAGTACTCGCCTCAATTCAATGGGACATTTCCCCTTTAAAATATTTTGCCGATGCATCGCGATGGTCGAAAAAACTATCGATATCTCCAACTATCGATAGTCGTATCGATGCATCGATCTATCGTGACAGCCCTAATCCTAACACAGGGGAACCTTCATGGCCATATGAGCCATATGAAGATTGAGGTAAGTGCTTTTGAGCAAAAGATTTTCAGAACAATCAAATTTTTTCTGAAGTTAGCAACAGACGTGCATTCTTCGATACATGAGAAAAATGAGGAACAGCCAAACTTTTCAGCTTGTGAGCCAAATTTGGCTCATGAGCCATAGGTTCCTGACCCCTGTCCTAACATAATCATAGGAGGGAACTTCAATCTAAGGGAGATTGATTGGAGAACTACAATGTCTCTTCTGACCCAAAACACTCAGACATGCTTTGACTGCTTGATCTTTTCAATTACTTCCAATCTAAGTGAAGCTTCTGAGTTTCATTTGGAAAGACCCTGACAGATTGGGGAAATGGTCTGAAAACTGACTCATGTGGCTCAAAACAGGTAAGTGCAAGGTGCTGACTTGAGAATATTCAAGCACAAACACTCTTGAGGTGAACCTTATTTTCATGCCTGGAGTCCCCTTGAGGCAAATTCCTTCACTAACATTTTCATCTGAAGGCAACTCATAGTAGGAGAAGTGTCTGTCATTCAATGGTGACAGTGAATTGAAAGAGCCAGAAATGGCAGGTGCAGATGAGAACTTGTGCTTTTCAATTCACAAATGAAATGCTTGTTTTTCTTCTATTCTGATCTTGAGGCATTTTACCAACCACTGGCATAAAGAGGCTAAAGCTATTGCAGTGGTTCCCAACCAATGGATTAATGTGGAGCTTAGGATCGTTTTTGACCCAGAATGCAAGAAACAAATGTTTACTTTTTGTCATACATTGTGTTCTTCCGCTCATATTTTGTTCTATTGATCAGCAACATTCCTCATGGGTTACATACAGTCTTCAAAAAGCAAAATACAGGTCACAGTCTAAAGGGTTGGGAAACTCTGAGTTAGAGTCAGGAATGTTTTGCAAATGATGGAAAGGTAGGAAACAGTGGGAAAAGCCACTTTGTTACTCAAAGGGAGAGATTCAGTTTCATATGGAGAATAAAGGCACAAGGAGAAACTTGATTTCCACATTGTCATTAGCTGACCCTCTATAAACTGTTCCTTCTCCATTGGAAAATCCTAAGAACACATTTCAGGACAAGTACATGTTGGCTACAACAGAGGTTCGATTCTTTCTTTAGGCATATCACCACCTGTCCCAGGACCAGTGACCCAAGGAGCAACAGCTGGACCATCTGCTACAGTAGCAAGCGGAGATGTGCATCATGCACAAAATCCTTCCCCACGTGGTATGAAACCATCATTTATGCACTTCTTACGATCCCATTCTGCGATGAAATTTTTATTTTATCCTTTGTTAACATTCCCTGTTGAGTTTGCTGTGAAGTCTGAACATTTTTTTATTTGAGCTTCCTTTACATGGAGATGCCCAAGCAGGAAAGCTATCAAAGCCAATACATGTAAAAGGTCAAGGAAGCTCACAGGATTGCAGAATTGGATATTGTCCTGTAACAACCTGTATTCATGATTCATGACTTTTTGAGGATAAAAATGTAATTTTTCTGTAACAGTACACAATTTTACAATCCTCTTGAACATGGACTGCTTCTCTTATTATATGTCTCCTTAATGTTGTAATATGACTCTTTCCCATGACTATGAAGTTTATTTCAGTAAACATGCATCTATTTGATCATGTGTAACCACCCTGAATTGCATGCATCTTGACTCAGTTGATGACAGCAAGAATGCTGAAAAAGTAATGTCATGTCACATTGAAAGGAAAAACAGGATCACATCTGCTTGTTATTGATCATGGGATTATAAAATGGTAATATAGTTAATAGTTAATCCCATCATTCCTATAATGCCTGGTTACCAGAAAGGACATCCCTTTTCATATATGGAATCATATGTATATATATATATAGGGTGGCCCATTTTCAGTATTTACAGTTTTATTTGGCTATAGCTTATGTCAATTTTATTCTATTTCGATAATATTTTAACACAAAGTAGTGCTGACCTAACAATGTTATTTGGCCAATTTTCATTGAGTTCTGCCTTGAGGTTTTCAAGAAATTCAATTTTTACTGCAATTTGAAACTTTCACATATACTGTACATGTTGATTTTTCATCTAGCTCTGAAGTGAAGTTTTTGAGAAATTGATTTTTTATTGCAACTCATATGTTGTGCCATTGTGCATGTCATTGGTGCTATTTATTAAGTCCATTGTCTGTTTGAAATTTACCATTTTTGTGTTTTTAGATGTCATTTTCAGTGAATGAATGGGCAAAGGTTGTTGCTGGGTATGAATGGACAAAAAGTCCCATGATTGTTCAGCGAAGGTTTTGTGCAGATTTCGGTTAAGATCCACCTTCTCATACGAGCAAGCATATTATCAGGTGGCACAATGCTTCAACAGGAACTGGAAGTGTGCTAAATACAGACAGAAAATAGCGATTACCAAGGTGCCTGGAAGATGTCAACCACATTCAGACTTTTGGCAAAATCACTATTAAAATGAGGCAAAAATAGGTTGGAATTCCGTGAGCATCTTGAGTGCATTATTGAAAATAGTGGTTTTCACATTGAAGTGCATAACTCGTGAACATCATTTCCAAATATTGGTAAAATTGGCCAAATAAAGTTGTAAAGTCAGCACTACTTTGTAGTGACACAAAAATCAGAGATTCATCACAAAATTCAGGGGCACATCTCTGTTTTAAAGTACGGAAGAGTTCCATCGATCCAATCTACAGGGCCAGTCAAAGCCCTGTCCACCATTTGAACGCTAACTTAGGAATTCCAGTTCGGAATGATGCAAAGTTATTACCGTATAAAAGACATCTCTACCCTGAGGTGAGAGTTCGTAATATTTTTTCGATCATACCTCTTTGCTGAGACAGAAATTCAATTCTTTTTTTCGAGGATTTTTAAGTGCGTCCACCTCTGAAGAAGTGCTTGAACACTGTGTCCAATCGATTCCAAGTAAAGAAGTTTGAGGCAAGTGCCGGCCTTTTTGCCAGTGATGACTTTCTTGCTTGAAATGAAATTGAGAGCATCTCAGAAAATTTTATTGGCTTTCGAATGGCTTTAACTGGATTACAATCTGATAACTCAGTCATGAGTTATCAAAGATTCACTCTGTATAATGGGACAACAGTCAGAATCTCTGGCTATCAAGCCATGGGCCTAATGCGGCAGCTCTAACCCAGAGGTGTATTTTCATGCAGTTCGTCTCAACAGAGGAATTGAACATGGAAGATGATTCGAAATTGATCATGCTACTACTTGACCATTCTGCCATGCAAAGAAAAGCTTGGGACGTCCTATAGTAATTTGCGGTTACGTGGTTTGGTACTTTGTGTATGACTTCTTTTTTGTCGTGCATCCTCTGGATTTTTCCAAAAAATGCATAATCTCCTTTGATGATCATAGGAATATAAAAATATCCCAATCGAGGGAAATTATTCCTTGGTTGATGGAAAATAGGTAGAAAGACACGAATAGAAGAGGCCATTCTGGTCTAGGTGAGCTTTTAGTGAAGAGGATCTTTCGCCAAATTATCAAACCTATCCCGAGCCAAAAGTTCTTGCCTGCAATTTATGATGTTAAAGGAATTGCGCGGAGAGAGCGAGAGAGGAGACGGCGGACTTTTCACATGCCGACAGAGGACTGATGTACTCCGCCTCAAAAGACACCCTTGTGACTTCGATGTGACAGGTCAAGGGGGAGCCTCGGTCATTAATTATCACTCATGCTCCTCACCTGAGACATGGTGAATGGAGGGATTTTCATTGAAAATCAGGGTTGCCGACTTTCTTTCGTTCAATCGGGTGAAGCGGGATCCCAATGGATCTCTCTCAGCTGGCTGGAAGGTACTGTCCTTTATCTGACAACACTGAAGCGTGTCTTAAGCCTTTAGCCCCCTGATGACCTACCAGAGGCCAAATATACACATATCTCTTTGACTTCTTGTCTATCACCCATCCATCGAATCTTTTTCAAACCAAGTGTCTTTTGCTGCCAAATAGACTATAGGCATGAAGTGACATTTCCTATGTCCTCTCAAAACCAGTTAAAGCCTTCCTCTTGTCCCAAACCTTTTTTTTTTTTTTTGGGGGGGGGGGGGGGGGGGGGGGGGGGGGGGGGGGGGNGGGGGGGGGGGGGGGGGGGGGGGGGGGGAGTGGAATGGAGAGGAAGGCCCAAGTATGACAAATGAGCATTTTGCTGGTCTTTGTGGATTAGATGGAACTGGACGAGCTATGGATGACATGCACCAATTGAGGAATCGGATTGGTTTAAAGACGAGTTGAACACGTTTACTAAAACATGTTTAAGAATGTGTTTATCTTTGATATGCATCACTGAAAATCAGATTAGGTTCCATGAACACGTTTATCTGCGATTTAAACACGTTTAAAGGCTGTATTGTTGCACTCAGAAAGAGAATGACGAGTATTGTGGCAGCTCCATCGTCCGCATCAAGTCGGCGACGGTGTAAGACGAAACTGTCTCGGGAATTCGTTTCCATTGAACCGTCGAAGAGGATTGAGCCGATCTCTGATAATCCTCCTGGCCATTTTGGTTCAGGATCTCGTCAAAAACTTCTATCTCTTCATTAGTTTCCATTTCCACTGCCGCTGGATGATGAGAGGCAAGAATAATGAGGCCCATCCCAGCAAAACAGCATGCTGAATTACCTCTGAGAGTCCGTCTAGGGAGTTGAACCTGCTATGGAACAAGTTCATCTTTGAAGATTAGCTCGAGAGAGAAGTAAACTGATTTCATTTAGTGCATGTCACCCTATATGTCCATATATGGCTATAATGTCTGCATCCGGTCCGTCAGGGAGCCCTGCCCAGGCCGCGGGGGCATTGGCTCCCAACATTATGGGGTAAACACAACCACGTGACCCGATTCATACTCCATATATTTATATATAATTTCCTAGTTTTTCCTCTTCCGACTGACTCTCCTCACCCATTCATTGATATCTTCCTGTCTGTTTGTGCCCCTTTCCCTCTCATTTTCTTCCACAATGATGGCAGGGGTTTCCCTATCCCATTAAATATATATATATAGAAGTTATGGCTGGGAAAGTAACTCGAGTATTGATTTTACTCGCTTATTTCATGATGTAGTGGAGATATTTTTTCAAAAAAAGTCTTGAGGAACAGCTATATTCTTCTCTGCCCAATCCTTTCTGCGAAACACCCGATGGCAATAGAAATTGCAGGAAGTATACACTGCCAAGTGGCACAACTCACGACTCGTAATAGGAATGTTTCCTTGAACCTGGTGGTAGTAATTATGGTTATCTTTCAGACTTCCTTCTTTGGTCAAGAATAATTCCGTGCTGCCCATGACATCTTTCAGTTGGCTGTCACGATATTTGTACGGACATTTGATGACCTCAGCAATCCCATATGTTCCCACCAGACCGTCCAGACAAGCACCCAAGATATCCGTTGAATGCAGCCAAAGACCTGTCCTCGTCACAGTGCTGCCATACTTCCCTTGATATTTCTCCACAGCTAGTTCTTCATGAGCTTCGCCCATATGATAGAGTCTTTCTTCTGAAGGTTGTATTCTCCTAGGACGTTCTACCAAAACGAACGAGGAAAGGACTTGCGCTTGCATGCCGTCAATACGACTCCAAAAAAATTCTGGCTGTGATTCGATGCTTCCAGAAAATTCCCCAATGAGGATTCTTTGATTAGCCACTTGTGATTCTTGCCACCCATTCTATTTGCTCTCTACTCACACGAAACTCATCTTTCATGTTCACCTCTTCAGAGGTGGAAAAGAGAGCTTCTTCCACTAGTGGAGGAGCCTATGAGTCTGAAATGGAATCTGGCTCAGGAGATAAAATCCAATAGATCCCACAATTTTGGTCGAGCATGGTGCAGAAGAAAGACTTGTCTGCAGAAACAAGTCGAGATGTTCCTCTGTAATTTGATTTTTTTTCAGGGAACAATTCAGTAGCAAGAACAGCTGCATCCCCTTGCTTCGGGTGAGCAAGGAATCCCCTAGGAACGACTGAAGGATTGGGTAGGTAGAACAGGATAGTCAGCGCCATGGCGTCGTGGGAAGATTGAGTGGAACAAGAACTTGGGCGACCAGAAGTCTCTCGTGCCCCTCTTGCAAAGAAATTGATGTGAGTACGGAGATGCTTGAGTCCCTTTCCACATTGCCCAGACTATCGAAGGAGCCATTTTTCCATTACCCCAATGGTGAAATACTGCTGTGTCTACAAATGCAATTCGAGTAGCTTCGATCCCAACGTGTCATTTCATACGTTTTCAAAGACATTTCACATACATTTCAAAGACAAAAAACTGATGAGGGCATGGACGATTTGTATAAGAAGGAAGGACTGGCAACCAAGGAATACGTCGTACGTGTGCTCAAGGCATTTTCTGGACATGACTATCGGTCTACAAAGTCGAAGAAACGTTTAAACCCCACGGCTGTCCCGTCAGTGAAATTATGCAGAGCTGAAGATGATGAACGGGAGTCGAAAGGAAGAAAATTGGTCCGTCAAGAGCATGCCGGTTGTAGTGATGCTCTTGATAACCGTGGCAACGTCTCTGGAAGAAAACGTTGTGATGCTGAATGTCAAACAGAGATACTATGCTGTGATTCAGCTTCTCAAACTGATAAATGTGACCTGTGGGATATGCAGGAGGCAAGGTTTCGAATTCAGCAGCTAGAAGCTTAGTGTTTCTGCTTCCAGAATTTGAATGAAGAAGGCGTTAATATGTATACTGGACTAACCAAGAATAACTTCATGACCCTGGTGAGTCTTTTGAAAAGATTCGAGCCATTCAGCTACTACACTGGAGACAACATAACGCTTTTGGATGGAGAAAACCAACTTCTCTTTTTGATTAAATTACGCCTTGCGATCCCAGACCAGGATTAAAAGCTTTGTTTCCACGCGAGTCGAGGAATCGTCCATAATATCTTCATGAGTACCTGAATGTCTTGTACAAGATTTTCTACACGGGAATGATGGAGAATAATGTTTCATCCCTGTTGAATAATCACCTAGAGATGCCCCATGTTTTTGCTTCCTTCTCAAGTTGTCGGATGATAATTGACTGCTCAGAGACTGAAATTGCCATTCCTAAGATGCTCAACAGGTCACTTATAGCAATTATAAATCCCAAAATACTTTTAAATTCTTGATTGATGTTGCTCCTTCTGGGACTGTGAATTTCATTAGTGAAGCCACACGGGTAACATCAGTGATCGTGAAATTGTGCAGAGAAGTGGAGTGATTCATGCGTTTCTGGTGGAGATCTGATACCAGCCGACAAGGGCTTCGCAATTCATGATTTATTGCCCCAGGGAGTCCCTGTCAATGTGTCACCATTCCTTCCAGCAAAGTCCCAGTTTTTTTTTAGAGAAGAGGCACAATTAAGGAGGAAAATTGTGAGCTGCCGAGTTCACCTCGATTGGGCTATTTGGAGGATGAAGACCTTAGACATCCAACAACGTTTTTCTTATAATCGCAGATCATCAGCCACCAAAATAATTCGTGTCGTCGGTGCCTTGGTCAATCTACAAACTCTCATAATAAGGAAGGATTGAACAAGAAGGCAAGTGACATTTCTGCTTGGCTGTGAAGCATGAAAATGAAAGGAACGCCAACGTGCGCGAGGGGGAGGAGCTAACAGACCTATATGGTTGTATATGACATGTCTATATATGGTCATATAGCCGCACAGAAGTGTTGCCATTGGTGGTGTTGTCTTCGTCATGGTCCAAGAGCCAATGGATTTCGGGCGCTCCTGTCTTTTACTCGCCTTCACACTTGCGTTCTCCCATATATTCAACAGTCTTGCCTGTGAGTGGCGAGGTCAGCATGCACGTGCTTGCTCGCAGTCGTGAGCCAGCTGTACCAGAGAAAGGAGCTTGTCGCGTTTCTTCCTTGATGCCTGTGGAACCATGAGCCCAATTTATAGACGTTTGCATGCAGTTGTGAATCTAGAGAGTGCCATGAAGTCTCGTGATCATTGTCGGGCAAGTGAGTTTCC